GTTGGGAGAAGAAGGTGGTGATCCTTTAGATGGACAAAAATTTGATTTGATTGTGGTATGCTATTGCCATTTCTTTTATATATAGCACGTATGTTCATGAAATTAAATGAAAATAAACTGTTCATAAAAGTGCGCTTCTGCATATCACCATCTGGGAGACATAAAATCCGCAACCAAGACACTCACCACATATCTAAAGCCTGGAAGCGGTCACTTGATTGTTCTTGATTTACAATTGAACCCTGGACATTCTCACAGATTTCATAATTCTGAACACTCTCACCATGATTCTGAACACTCTCATCATAATCCTGAACATTCTCACCATAACCCTGAACACGCTCACAAAAGCCATATTCCTGCATCAGGGGCTGTAAATTATCCTGGCGGATTTAGTCATGATCAAATACGTGAAGCATTTGAAGGTAATGGCGGACTGTTGGAGAATGTCATTGTGAGAACTGCATTCTCATTTAAAAAGATGACGAATGAAGGTGTCGAACTTGAGTTTGAGTATTTGTTGGCTAAAGGAAGAAGACCGAAATTGGTGGAATAGACGTCGGATTATGTAGATAGAAAGTATCGTAAACTATAGATTTTTACATTAATATTTTGCAATTATAAAAATCTCATGATCTTATTACTATCTTTCATTATCGATATTATTCGAATATATGTCTGAATGGTTTGTTAATTGCATTCCAGAGCCATTTGTTTTTTGTATACAATCACGTCCTTCAGTTGAAGGCACTTTACCATTCTGCTGTTGTTGCTCTATATCATAAACGTTGTTGTTGTCCTGGGGTTCGTTTGTGTCCAACATTCCGACGAAGGCAACGACGAATATCAATAAAAGATGTTATCGTAGATCATTTTAAACATCATCTTTATATTATTTGATCGACTTTTTTAACCAACTCTGTAAATGCTAACTGTAATAATAATAAATAATAATAATTAAGAAACAATGACTTCACAAACACCAAAGACATTAACAGAAATAAATAACAAGCACTTTAACAATCGTGCCACGACTTATGATGGCGGAATAAATGTAATTATAGCAGAAAAATGTGCTAAAGCGATATTAGAAGAATTTGGCCATAATTCATCTTCTGATAGCGATGTCAATGCTAATGAACAAGCAGCAGAAGCATCAGGACAAGAAAATAATAATAGAATTGGCCTTCTTGATGAAGGCAAAACTCAAGTTCTCGATTTTGCGTGTGGCACCGGTAAATACACTCACCCACTCACTCCACACATTTCCTCTAATCACATCACTTTAATTTTAATAATATAATAAGGGTTGATTTCGCAATCCCTTTTGCCATATGTACACTCGATTCTTGGAGTTGATACATCACAAGGAATGGTTGATGTTTATAATCAAAAATGTTGGCAGCAAGGATTGACTAAGGATGAAATGCAAGCAATTTGTGTTGATTTGTTGGGAGAAGAAGGTGGTGATCCCTTGGATGGACAAAAATTTGATTTGATTGTGGTATGCTATTGCCATTTCTTTTATATAGCACGTATTTTCATGAAATTAAATGAAATAAACTGTTCATAAAAGTGCGCTTCTGCATATCACCATCTGGGAGACATAAAATCCGCAACCAAGATACTCGCCACATATCTAAAGCCTGGAATCGGTCACTTGATTGTCGTTGATCTACAATTGAACCCTGAATTTTTTCAAAAATTCTATAACCCTGAACACTCTCACCATAATCCTGAACACTCTCACCATAATCCTGAACATTCTCACCATAATCCTGAACACTCTCATCATAACCCTGAATACTCTCACAAACACCATATTCCTGTATCACAGACTATAAATAATCCTGGGTTTAGTCATGATCAAATGCGTGAAGCATTTGAAGGTAGCGGACTGTTGGAGAATGTCATTGTGAGAACTGCATTCTCACTTAAGAGTGAAGGTGTCGAACTTAAGTATCTGTTGACTAAAGGAAGAAGATCGAACTTGGTGGAAGAGGCGTCGGATTATGTAGATAGAAAGTATACGTAAACTATAAATTTTTACATTACTATTTTGCAATTATAAAATCTCCCATGATCCTATTATGAACATATCGATATTATTCGAATATGTATCAATGGTTTGTTAAACCTCGTTAAATCAAACCCCGTTAAACCGAAGTGGATTCCAGGAACAATTATGGTAAATCGCCCGAATTTTTTACTAATAGCACGACCACTTCGGCTTAGTAACGTTCCCAAATCATCTATAAAAATCAGTCGCATAATACGCGTTATTTTTAAACTCACGGTTTGTTCATGAATTTCCCTAGTCATTTTTCGTTAATGAGACGCGATTTTCTTAACACGTATATCAATATCACGTGAATATGAAATGTTTAACTATTTACGATTTTTAAAAAATCTAAACCATAAGATTTGTAGAACTTATAAAGAATAAATTTTACGATTTAATTTTTTATTTTTCTTTATAAATTGCTGAAACATTTCATTTTAAACTTAATTTATTGTCGAGTCTAAGTGGCACCAAAGAATGAATTTATCCATAATGTTTTTTTAAAAGTGAGAAATTCTCACAAGTAATATTTGCGTTCAAATCGAGTAAAGAAAACACAGCTCATTCATAACTCGTAAGATTTTCGTCTCCCCTGTAATTTTAACACATTCCTTGTTATCACAATATTTATGCGCTACTAATAGCGCGCCCATAACAAAGTTCTCGTTCGACGCGAATAGTTTCCGGAAAATGAAAACCTTTGTTCTTCCAAATCTTTAACATATGATAGAGGGCAAAGAGGGTCATTGTTTCATCAAATCTCGCCTCTTCCAAGACCTGATTTTTAATAGAATACATTAATATTTGATTGTCAATATCAAAGCATCAAAATATTATTAATTACAATAATATATAATTTTAGATTGAATTTATCTACTTACATCATTTAAGAGTAGCTGTAAAAGAATCGACTCCTTTCCATACCGTAAAGTGTTTGCGGGTAGTTTTTAAACGAGAAACTTGTCGAAGTTGGATTCTTTCCATCTTTATTATATAAGTAAGAAACGTAAAAAATAAATATATTTATTGGAAACTCTTCTTTTTCTATAATTATACGTTTATATAGTTTTATAATTTTAATATAAATCGTAATTTCTTACAAAAGCATAAAGTTAATGATTAACCAATTTGCACTAATTCGTCACGCAAAATGTTTCTAATTATTTGTTAATTACCTTAATTAAACTGGGATGGTGGTTAAAAACCCTACAAAAGTGTTGGTTTGTATCTAAAGCGCGTAAAAATGCCCTTTTTCGTTTGCTTTTTTTGTCTTTGTCTTTATATGCGATTAGCTTTGTAGTAGAGACGACGTAAAATTTTTGTCAATCATTACTATTTATAATAATTGTGACGATATATCGTGGAAAAATCGAAGAAATTTAATTACATAGTTCTATCGTATTAATTAAATAGTTTTGGAGTTAAAAAACATTTCCAGTCAATTTATGCTAAAATAAAGCTCTTTGCTTTCATTAAATTAGTTTGTATTTATATTATAGCAAAATGAACGTTAAGTCTCCATTTCTTTTAAATCATATAAGTTTGATCTCATACCGATACGGGCAAGCATAAATTATTGAAATAAAAAAAAATTTTCACATAGATTATCCTATCATTATCCCTTATATTTTTTCTAATACATTGAATATTAGAATATTCTTTATCTCGAATCGCTTATAGATAGGTAGGAAGTAAGTAGATACATAGATAGTTAAGCTAGATCATTATTAATTATCGGTGATAGCATCCAAGCCAATCTGAAAAGCCGTAAGCAATGTCTCTTTATTTTCCAAACCCACGCTCACCCTAACCAGAACTTTCTCAACGCCAAATTTGGCAGCCCAATCCAATTCTGTATAATGCGCCAAAATCGTGTAAGGGCATGCAAGTGTAAAATTTGTGCCTAAAGATGGGCCTTTTGCAATTGGGAGCGCATCAAAGAATTGAGCAGACGCGCGCTCAGAATGAAAAGTGATCGAGAATAGGCCACCGTAGCAGCCTTCTTTTCGCATGTATTGCGCATAAATCTCGGGTGTTATGAATTTTGGATAGTAGAGTTTCTTGACTATATAATTGATTGATTGATTGTAGTTTTATTATTAGTATTCTGACTTAATCTTTTTGGATTCTTTAAATCATCTATGTAAAAACCTAATCGTTAAACAAACCTTTTGAGTTGCTATTAAGAAAATCACAGAGCATTTCAGCATTTTCATTTATCTTTAGTATTCGTTCTCTAAAAGTTCTAGAATTTCTTTCAAGAAAGATCACATCCTCAGCCCAAAAAAGATCCTCATATTCCACTTTCAAGGCTTCTTTCAGTTTCTGATAATGACGGCGTTGCGGATTCAAAACCAATCTAAAAATTCAGCAGAAATAGTTGATAAAGACATAAATTAGGAAAATCACGTATAAACTCATTGATATAATACGCACCCTCCTCCCATAACATTACTATCTCCACTAAAGATCTTTGTGTAACTAGAGACAATTATATCTGCACATTCTAAGACCCTAACGTTTATATAATTTCCGATCGTCTCATCCACGATTATTAAAAAATCATATTTATCCGCCAATGCTCTTAGACGTTTTAGATCCGGCGATTTCAATAATGGATTTGAAGGAAATTCGCAAAATAGGCACAGGATTTTTTCACCCGAGGCGAGTAAATTCTCTAATGCATCAATATCTGTCGAGGAACCGTGACCAAAGAAATGACATCCAGGTCCAAACTTTTCCAAAATTTTCAAAGTATCAACGTACACAAAACTATAATTATTATTATGTATGAAAGAAGATAGTAATATCAAACTTACTTTATTCAAAAACAGCCAAGTAACAAAATTCGAGTTACGTAAATCTCTAATTATAATTACCCAAAACATACACTTTTCTTGTGTGGAAATGCAGAGAGTATGATTCGATGAGCATTGAATATAGCACTCATTCCGCAGGGAAAAAGATACACATCATCCTCCGATACCACCATAAGATCGCGTTCTGATATTCCTTCAATTGCCTTTGAAGCTACATTTTGTAAATTCTCTTCATCACTTTCTACCCCAAAAACTCCCGCAATTCGGCGTTTTAGAACAATCTTTGCCTTTTCGGCGAATTCGGCTGAAAGATTGCGACCATATCTCTCTTCTACATATGAATTAGCTCCAAACAATAATTCATCTGCCGATGCTTTTTTACTATTAACAATATTACTATTATTGCTATTATCACAATCGTTATTATTGTCTGTAATGTTATTGTTAAGGTTATTATTTTTTGTAATACTTTTATTAATATCATTATTGTTGCTATCAATATTATTGGTGTTAGTTACGTTAGCCACGGCTACAGGAGGGCGCGGATTAGAATATCTTTTCTTGGATGATATTTTAAGATTCATCAATTTCTCTTGGGTTTGTTCTTCTTCCTGTTTAGCCTGTAATAGACGAAGGACATATTCTGCATGACGTGAAGAAATTCCATCACCGGTATGTTGCCAATACGATTTGGCGACTGGAAAAGCATCTTTCGGAAAAATTATCACATAAAGAGTGACCGCATTAGGTAATGATGATTCAGTATATTCAGCTGTAGGTGCAAGAACTGTAATCTCTGCAAGACGTGCTATAGTGGAAGAAGCTTTCGAAATTGATGTTGATGAAGACAAAGCATCTTGTGGGTTGTAATACCGTTTTAGAAAATCGCGACATCTTTGCGCAGCTTTCCGTGAAGGAAACAATAAACATGATTCCGTAGGTTTCGCAAATTTTTGTTCACAATGAGACATGAGCTAAATTGAATTAAAGGACCAAAATGTGAATGCGCGTGTCGTATTAGATTCGAACAAGAAACGACAGATAGTTGTCCATATAGTTTCATGATACCAAAAAACGCTTATTTCTTACCCTAACCTAACGGTATCTTTCTTTATCGCTTGAAAACATTTCAAATTACCTTCTTA